TACCCTTTAACTTGACCCTCAGTGTCACGTTTCAGCATGTCCTGCTTTCAGTGAAGCTTATTTGCTGTCGTTCTGAGAGTTAAATATGTATTTCATCTCATCTTGTCTGTTTTTTGTCTAGCCAAGAAAAGAGACTGACTGCAGGAATTAACAGTAAAAGTCAAAAATGGCAACAGAAAAATGGCCACGGATTGTCAGTGAGCTCTGATTTGCAAACGAACCCCCTCCAAACAGAAACAGCAAACATGAACACGTCGTGCTGCTGTTGGTCAGATGTGTCAGTGCCCGAGCTGACAGCTGAATATCCGTGTGGAGAAGTTACTTAACGTTTCATGTTGTTTTTCCTCTGCAGGACTACGTGGTCACCAAGCGGCTGGCGTCTGTGTTTGCTCACTGCTACAGCTGCTCCCCTGTTCCTCCCATCCCACCCATGGACGTCACCCTGTCTACACAGTTAGGTAACACGGCACTGCTGTCATGTGACAACCTATCGATTGGGTGATTTGTTGCGGGTGAACAAGTGAAGGATTATGTTTTTGTCCCTGTTGTCAGATATTCACTTCCTCAACAACCAGGAGATGTCGGACGTGACGTTCATGGTGGACGGGCGTCCGTTCTTCGCCCATCGGGTGCTGCTGATGTCGGCCTCTGAACGGTCCGATCTCTGAATAATAATGACTATTAATGGTTACTAATTTTTCCATTGAGGTTTCCCAACCTGTTAATCTCAATAACACTAGACAAATATTTTCTACCAGTAAAACTATTTTAAAACCAGCTTTTTTGTAATGTTTTTTTGTCAAGGGAGTCTGGTGGCTTTGACGGGAGCCATGTAGAGACTGCCTCTGGTTAAACAAAAAGGATTTTACTCTTTAAAAAAAGGTCCTTTCCATAATGTTGTCAGACAATCGGAGCCATTCACTGGCAAAAACAAGCACTTTGATGGACGTACTTGACAGGGTGCAATTACCCAAACTGTTATTTTGCAGCCCTGTTTCGCTGCTGCTGACTGAGTGTACTCGCTCAATACTTGACCTATTTCAAAAAATGTTGTCCCAAATAGGGTCCAGGGTTGAAAAATTCTAATGTTTCTGTTTATCTAAACCAATAAATACATTTAAAAATCAAATTAAACCATGTACTTTTTAATGAAACTGGGGAAACCTGAAGCAGATGTAGTCAAAATGTGTTAATTGTCACCACCATTGTCATTTTAAATATAAAACTGATGTGTGTTTTGTCCCGTCAGGTTTCGACTGATGCTCTGTGATTCCCCCGACAATATCATCCACATCAGTCACATGACCTACAGCACATTCCAGGTAGGACACCTTTACCTTCTGCCCTCTGGTATGAATGAGACTGATGGCTGTTCGGTCCACTTGCTGATGCTGAAGTGTTTTTCTCTGTAGATGATGATGAAGTCTCTGTACTGTGGAGGAACCGAGGGACTGACTGTCTCCCACGCTGAAGCCATGAAGGTAAAAACACTCACTGTTACCTGCTGTAGTTGCATCTCAGAGTTTGGTTTTTACATTGGAGATACAGTATCTCACAAAAGTGAGTAAGCCCCTCACATTTGTAAATATTTGATTAAATCTTTTCATGTGACACACTGAAGAAATGACATTTTGCTACAGTGTAAAGTAGTGAGTGTGCAGCTTGTATAACAGTGTGGGTGGTGATGGCGCAGTGGATAAGACACCGCTGGCAACAAAAATGAGGACACCCCTAAGTGAAAATGTCCAATTGGGCAATCAAATAGTATAATTGGACCAAATCAACATATTTATTGCAGTGTAGTTATCATTTTGAAGAGCAAATTAAATAAAAGGTGCTTATAGGCATGATGATGATAGTTCTGGAGAAAAGGCAACTAAAGAAATCCTTTGGATGAGGGACGAAACGTCTTCCAGTATCTTCAACCTTCGTTGGATAACTATGACCTGGATGACTGAGAACCTTCATAGACAACTAAAGAAACAAACATTTAGAAAACGATCTTATCTTGGGCCAAAACATATTGACAGTTTTTCTTGTCATCTATGAAGCAGAACTTTTAAATATTTCCTGTTGTATGAACCGTGTTGTGACTGTTTCTGTAGCTGCTGCCAGTGGCCACGTTCTTCCAGCTCAGAAGTCTGCAGAGGTGCTGTGAGATGAAGCTGTCGCAAAGTCTGACTCTGGACAACGTCGTCAACATCTACCAGACCGCCAAGGTACAAAAACACATGACGACACGAAGAGCTTTACTAGAGGATGGAGCTGCGGATATTTCATGCTCCTTTAGACCCACACTGTCACATGACTTTAACTCGGACTGCAGTCCCAGTTTTTTTGATTTTGCTTTTTGTGAATTTTATTCAAATGTGTGTTTGTGTTCAAATTTTTTCATTCCATTTTTATTTATTTTTTTTGAAAAGCTTGGTAAATGCTTTAGGTCCCTAGTTTAATGTAATTTAATAGAAAATAAGTGCTGTGTGTTACTCTTTTAAGTAATTTGGTATTAACCAGCAAATTTACAGAAGAAATTCCAACATGTGCTTATAAATCAACACAGCTAACTAAAATCAGATAAATGTCTCAGAGGTTTGTGTTTATTACATAGATTCTTAGGGGAAACGTCCTTAACAATTATGAGTAAATTACACGTAATATCAAAGTTTGATGTATTAAGACTTAGTTCTCAATACACAAAACTGACCTGGGAATCGAAACAGGTTTGATTTGAATAAGCTTCTGGAAACTAATTCTTGTTAAAGGAAACCAAACTCATGCAGAATAAGCACGTGGTTTTTAATATCATTTCAGGGTCATTATGTACTTGAGCAAAATAACAGCCACATAATTCTGCAGGTCACCTGCATATAATGTCACAATGAGTTGTGAGACAGGCCCTGTCCCACACCTGACCTCTCAGAAACTCAGTTTAATAATCAAGGGTCTTTTCATTTCCTATTTGTTTACTGGCTGAAGCCGATCACAGTGATGAACTCTAATTTGTCGTGTGTGGTTTGTCTTTCTTTAGCACCACGGAGGAGCTGAACTCTACAGATTTTGCGAAGGATTCTTCTTGCAGAACATGGATCGGCTCCTGGACCAAGAGGACTTCCACCACCTACTGCTGGGCGGTGTCGGTCAGGAGCTCCTCTGCCCAGGCGTGGGCACCCAGGACCAGGTTCTGCTGAGGGTTTTGGAGGCCACGCTAATCCGCAGACTTTACACCCTCCACTCTGCATGTCGAGGGTAGAAATAGTCCGGTGGTAGCGGAGGCTGCTGCCCTGTGTTCTGCCACGCTGGTATGTGTGTTTGGGAATAGTAGCCATTTATGTGTTTTGAACCTTAGTCCTTAAAGGGAGAACATGTTAGCGTAGAAGAAGAAGAAGAAGAAGAATAGACTGAAAACACAGTCAGTGTTTTAACAAGTTATTCCTCCTATTTATTAATCTGACACAAGTGAACATTGTAGAGATTATCCAGATCGATGATGCAGAAACTTAATTCATTTAACTAAAATTAACAGACCTCCTGGCTGCGTGTTTTACCTTTTGAGTATTAGCGGTTTCCTGTCACTGTCAGTCACATATAGTTTCGGTTTCCTTGACTGATGGTCGGACAAATTAATCAGCTGAAGACGTCACCTTTGACTGTTGTAAACTGTGACGGGCATAATTGAAAAGTCATTGCTGTAATAGATTATTAATCTTTTTGTGGTTTCACTTGTGTCAGGAAATCTCTAGAAACAAGACATTACCTCAGGCCATGTGTTCAAAAAATATTTAAACCAAGCCTTACTAAAGCTCTTGTTTAAATGTATGTTTATTGGATGTGTGTAGCCTGTAAAGATCAGCGTCAGAGCCCTGTTAACTGGCTATCTGGGGAACTGCACACCCTAATATCATCATGGAGCAAAAGCTACCGTGTAAGTAGGCAGATATTCTCTTGTACCACCCATGGTTGGAGTCACCAAACGTCTAAGTCACATTTTTAAGGTCTAAACTCAAACTGTACACTGAAGCCACAAGATGAAGCATAAATGTTAAAGATGGAGTCAGCGTATTTAATCCAACACACTTTTGTGTGTGACTATTTCTACTACACCTTTCCAATCTCGTATGCAGTTTATAGTCACAGCGCTGGCAGATTAAAAACCTTTGATGCAATTGGTCCTTGATTTTCAGAAATTACAGCCGCCAATAGCAGATTTTGTTAGCTTGCACTAACTATTAAACTATGTAACCTGGTTTAGTGACCTTGCTTGGATACTTGCTATATAAAAATCTAGTATTAGTTCTAGCCCGTCATTAGTTTACCCACTGTAAGGCTAGCTAATCTAATCTAATCTTTTTACTGCGGCCCCTGCATCAGAATGTTGAAAAATCTGAAACGCTGGGTGATGTGTTTCGCAAACCTGGTTTGGTGAACCAGTCACTGCACTGAAACAGTTACTACCCTCATACATTTGCATCGACTCATTACTGCTGATCCATTTTAGCTTTTTTTTTTTTTTTTTAAACAAATGTGCAGTTTTGCAGAAAGCAAGTTAATGCGGCTCCGTACAGCTGCAGCAACTCAAAGACGGTATTAGAGCTGCAGCGATCAGTCGATTAATCAATTAGTTGTTCATCGTTTTGAGTAAAAAAATAATAATAGTAAAAATTTTCTGATTTCAGCTTCTCAAATGTGAATATTTTCTGGTTTCTTTATTCCTGTATAACAGTAAACCGAATATATTTGGGTTGTGGACAAAACAAGACATTTAAGTGATGTCATCTTGGGCTTTGGGGAAACATTGATCGACCATTTTCTGACAGTTTATGGACCAAACAAACCTATTAAACGTGAAAATGATTGACAGATTAATTGACAGTGTGAAGGGAAGATATTTATAATGTAAATCCTGTGCAGCTGCATGAAGATTATCAACTCTGAATATGTAAAATATGTATATAATTTTGGTAAATAAACATCTCGTAACCAAAAAACAATGTGCACACCGCTCCAAAGTCAACAGATTTATTTCCTTTAGCACTGAAGTTGTTCACAGTAACATCACAAGGGAATACATTGCCAGTGGTTATCCTGCTCAGTAGTAGCGCTCCGTGCTCCGAGTCCAATCTGTGTGCTCTGGATTCCCCCAGTAGAAAAAGAGGAAAGCGAACAATGAAAGGTATTGCTTTAATTTTTCTCTCTGATAACCCAACACCCACCCAGCTGGTGAGCGATCCGACCGCCAGAGAGGTCCCTCTTTGAGAGAATGAGTAAGGAGGATGCGTTGCACGGTTACTGTGTGTAGACAGTAATCAAAAAGGAGGAAGAGGACGGCGGGAAAATATTAAATAAAATAAAAAATCAAAAGGCAAATTAAAACAAATGCACATAAAGAACATAAATACATAAATAATTTTGGAGAGAGAAAAAGGGAACAGGAGAACAATTCCAACAACAACATGCAAAGAAAAGACGAATGCTGAACATGCAAACAACCGTACGAGGTCAAAGCTAAGATTAGGAGTCCCCTTGGTTTTTTAAATAAGCTTGTCAGTAAACTCGGCTTATTTACAGAGTGTTTGGTGAGATCTGAGTCATCATACACACGATGGGGGAGAAGGAGCCGACAATTATCAACAAAAGGGTTTGTTCCTCTCAAAGAGGCTACGTCTACATTCTTAAATTACGGTAAATAATTTTTCAAAAACGTATATTACAAGGTTTCTCTCGTCAAAAAAGCCGGGAAAAAGGAAACGAACGCTCACAAACGAGATTTTTCTCGCTGTTAAAATAACTTAAACATGGCAAAAATATCCTTAAATAATTTGACCCTTAAGAAAACATTCTCTACATCTTTCTTATAAATAACTGAGAATAAATTAATAACAAAAAAATGACAATACAATAAAGTACAAAAATATATACACAGCAGTTCAATATTGTAGAAATTATAATAAAAAATGCCCTGACATGGTGTAACTGAACCCAAATCTGATTCACTTTTCAAAAGTGCAAAAGGAAAAGGAGACATGTACGATCTGGTCACACCAGAAAGTGGCACGGCGAAATTAATCTGGGTCTTTGTGAAATATATAGAGAACCTAAGTCCGCAGACCTCCATGGGACGTTACTTTGGAAAAAAATATGTGGTAGTCAATGGCGAGAGACTTTTTAAAATTCTCTGTTTGAATTCTGCCCTGAACTTCACACATTTGTCAATTTAAAAGATAATTAAAGTCAAGAGAGTCTCAGTTTGTCTTAAAACAGTAAAGTAACATTTAGTTTTGTGTGAAAAACAGCTCTCGTCTCACACAACATATGTCACCAACATGTTATCTCTATAATGCTAAGCTAACGGTCATTGCTAGCTTGCCACTAGCTAGGAACCACGCACAGATGTATCTCACCCGATGTGTTTAATCCAAGGATTTCTGGTCCTTTCATCACATCATCTATACACGGAAGCTCTTTCACATTAGCTTCAGTCATAGCTAAAATTCTTTTAAATTGGGCCCTGAATTTTACATACGTTTGTCAATTTGAAAGTCAAGAAAGTAGCAGTTTGTCATAAAACTGAAAATACGTACAGACCACAAGCCCAAAAGTCACGTTTGTGACGTCATAACTGTTTCTCTCAGTGACTGAAGCTAACGTCAGTAGTCCCAGCTTGTTACCTAGTATATTTGGCAAGACGAGAAATGTAGTTCATTGAGCAGTTTCACACAAGCCTAAATGTTACTTTACTGTTTTACGACAGACTTTCAAACAAAATACATACTTTTGCCAAAATAACGTCCCGTGGGGCGAAATTGGCTCTCTATTCTTCTAGAGGCTTAATAACTCAGAGGAAGCTGGGGAGATAACCACAAACATGCTAGCCCGCTGGAACATGTGAGCGTTATTCGGTCACATTATCCGCATTACATTTGAGCATCTTTCTTATTTTCTTTGTACTGAGCTCTTTTTAAAAGGACGTATTTGTACCATCGCCTCCTGCCTACAAACAATTCCTGTTGTTGTTGTGTACTCCCAACTAAGGAGGTTAAATAAAGGTTGATGGTGACGTTCCAGCTAACAAGCTACGATAGCTTCCTCCATTTTGGACTCTTCAAGCTCTGTTTCCTCAAAGCTCAGTGCTGTCGAGAGACGGCTTGCTTTTGGTCAACAACGCAAATGTGTGTGTTCACCAAAGTTGAATGAAAATATTTGCACGAATTTACTGCGCCTCAAGCTTGCAGCGATTTCTCTGGAATGAATTGATTTCTCTGTGAAAACTCGCCGTGTTAAATGCCGGTGTGACCAGGCCGTTTACAGGAATACAAAACAAAATATGGAAACACAACTCTAAAACATAATGTCACAACTACACTTTTTGTACATACGTAACATTATTTAATCTGTACAACAGAATAGATCATTCATTTATGTTAATATCACCTCCCCTCCCGCCCCCTTTATCATACTTTTATGGGCAGCCTTTTATCTGCAGGAACCCATTTACAGAAACGTCACAGAGAGAGCTCAGAAATCCTGCCGTTCACAAAGAAAGACAACATTAAAAAGAATTACAATCCAGCCAGCGTTCGCCCGTGCGTCTCCGCTTCTTCTTCCACCGCTCCTGCTTCCTGTTTGTCAGCGTGTGCAAGTCATTACATCCCGCAAAGAAGTCATGTTTGTGTTGAGTACATACAGTATGTGTGTTTTTTTAATTTCATTTTATGTACATGTGGGAGAAATAGAAGAAAGACAAAAGAAGAGGGGGGATGTATGTGTAGACAAACATCACTGTCTTAAGGCTTTTTTTTTCTTTTTACAACTCTTCTGAGATGTGTCGGTTTGGTCTTGTGGCGGGGAGAAGTGGACTCTACGGATGCAGCTGGAGAAAGGATTTGAAGAGGGGGGGAGGAAGTGAAGTGACAAAGGGAAGGGGTCCTCTGTCTTTTCTTCTGTTTCGGACTCTCGGTGGCGGCATGCCGCGAGCGGGCCGCTGTCGGCCGGTCTCGAAGAGGTTAATAGCTATTATGGATGATCCCTGGTGGCAGAGACAAGTCAAGCCATCACACATGTGAGGAGGACACACACCCACTGAAAGACCCCCGAGGACGCAGAGAGGGACAGAAGGTAGGGACAACAAAGCTACATTTGCTACTTACTGTAAAATACTGATCAACTTTTAAACTGAAATAGCCATTCCCATTATAGAGTACAAAATGTATAGGCAAAAAGTAGATTTCTTTTTTTGTTTTCACTCCGAACTAAAGGGCTAAGTTGGCAGCTCTCCTGTCGTTCTCTTGTTTAGTGACCTGATAACTGCTTTCATCTAGTCATGCACAGCTACCGCTCCTTAAGGTTGTTCCTGTGTCCTGTTGCTGGCGGCCATCTTTGTTTTGTCTTTGCCCGGGGGGCATTTAGAGTCATTGGGCGGGGGCTGGCTGGGCTTGCTGCTGGGGGCATGCTTGGCAGGGGAGCTAGGCGTGGCGGGGGCGCCAGGGGAGTGAGACGCTTGGATGTTCTTCTCGTCTGAAAAAAGCTGTTTAATTACGTCAAAGAAGTTACTCAACGGGCTGCCTACACAGACGGGAAGAAAAGAAAAACAAAGAGACAACAAGAGAGAGAGAGAGAGAACAAACAACAGATGAGCAATGGGGTTAACATGAGGAGAGAAGGAGTAGGAGGTGATGGAGGGATGAGGAGGAGAAGGAGTGGAGCTGGAGGAAAGGAGACTCTTTAGCCGGGAAAAAGGGGAAATGGTGGTAGGGTTGTTCAAGACGAAAGAGGTGGCAACAAAAGGAGCCATTTAGGGGGAAGGAATCTCATAATTAGTATTTATGAGAATCAAAGTGAGGGCAGTGTTGGCTTCAGAGTCTCAGTTTCCCCTGCTGGGGCGGAGAGCCAACGGGAGCGCTGGAGGACAAGTTCAGGTGTCAGGCAGTACCAGAGATTCACTAAGGAAGAGCAGGAGGCATTTTAATCATCAAATCAGATTTAAATCATTGTTTTCTTTTTAAATGTTATTAAATGTGCAAATAGTCTTTTTAAAAAAAGCCCTGTGACATTTCAAACAGCATCAAACTTCAAATCCAGCAAACTGGGTTCAGTTCTTACTTTCAGCTTTTTACTGAAATAAGTTTTAGATTTTTTTTTTTTTTTAGCTTAGAGGGAAATTAATCATTACTGTGTTCAAGATAGTTTTACATTCCTTAAAAAGAAATAAAACCATATCTTGTTCCAAGTGTTTCAGCTGGTTTGGAAATCACCCTTTTTATTTTCTCGATTTTTGAGCCAGAAATATCAAAATCTGGCTCGGCTTTTCTTCGTTCAGGTTAGCAATGCCGCTAGCTAAAAGCAAGCCGCCTGCAAAGTTTTTCAAGTTTTTAGTACACCTAGGCTTGTGCAAATAACCTGCTATGTAATGGCTGATACTCATTGTTTGTCTAATTTTTGCCTACTGTACTTTTTAACTAGATTATATGTTTTTACCGAACTGTTCTTCTCTTAAGAATGTCTTCCAAAAGCTCCTGTTAACTCTCCATCACATCAACATCCATCACAACAACATCCAACATCCGTATTAGGACAAAGGCTCTTTGGTTAAGTGCATTTAAACAGTCATGAGTGAATAAAAACATGCAACAATACAGCACACTGCACACATTAATACACACTTATCATTGCCAAGGTTAGTCTTCAAACAGTGAGAGAAGCGTCATCCTGTTTGCTTTGTTGCTGATGGACAGTAATACATGTGGATTTCTGTGATAACTTACCATTATTCCTCTTCAACAACATAGTGACGTGTACATTTCTGGTGCCTGATATTTTGTTCCAGTGATTTCAAATATGGAAAGTTTATGAGGTGTGGAGGCGGGAGGGGGGGCAACAACCCAGTATCAAGCATCACCATGCAAAGGGTTACTCGGGTCAGTAAAGAGCTGCACATTCACACAATGAAATATATCCATCCTATTGAATCATTTAGTCCTCCAAAGAACAAATCTACCCTAAAACCCTCAGTGGAATAAGATACTGCTTCTTAATGAAAGAGTTTAAGTAGGCCACTAACTCAAGGGACATTCTGTATTTTGGGTGGTGGGGCTTTTTTTTTTTAGTTATTTAAATCTTAGCGTGTCTTTTCGTGCTGTGACATGTGAATTAAAGCTAAAGCAATTAATCAAACAACTATTTTCACATAAGACAAAGAAAAGCTGCAAACTCTCACATTTGAGAGGCTGGAATTAGGCGCATTTAATCGATTTTTGAAAAAGTACGTTTTTAAGATCTACTGTGGGTTTGGGGGGGGGGGGGGGGGTATTATTCACTATCTATATCTTTTCTTTCTCTTTTTTAAAGTCATCTTAACGCAGCGCCCAAGGGATGCACCGATCTGACTTTTTCAGCCGTGATACCAATACCTGGGCTTTTAGAGTACCCATCTGTATTCCTCACTGTGAGGAAGAGACTGGGAATCAGTCTTTTATGTGTACGGCAACATTAAGCTTCCTAACTCTGTAAAACAAAATGCTATGTTAGCTCTCCTGGCAAAATATTTGGGTCTACCGACGCACAGCGTAGTACGTGGGTAACTGGATTAAAAAGATCTGGCCCCCCTTGTCACCACTACAGCTATTTGAGGCAGTATCGGCCGATATCAGTATTGGTTGCATGCACTGGTGCATCCCTTCCATTTACTAACTTTCTCAACTCTTTCCACTGATTCACAGTCTTCCTCGGTTGACGTTAGCTTGATGTTAGCTTAGTTGTTGCTCCACAGCTCGCTCAGTTATTAATGCGTTGTCTAATTGTTTAGCTTCTATCCAGTGATGGAAATTGTAGTTCACATCAGTTTCTTGTTTTATGTTAAGTTACTTTTTACATAGTGTACTTATATAAATATGTAGATATTTTATATTGTCCTGTTAAATATAATATTTCCATTAATAAAATTGATACGGATTCAAATAGAAGAATAAAGGCTGAAACGTGTCTCTGGGCTGCATGTAGGTGAACGTGCACCGTAGTTGTTTGGAGACATTTACATGGCTGTTTTGTTATTGTTTTTTTGTCAGCATTGAACCTGCCTCCTGACAGCAGGCGAGCCAACCAATCAGCTGGCTTGACATGCAGGTCTGTCAACACGTTGTTGAGATTTCGGAGGTCACAGAAGAATAATTTACAACATAGTGTGCTGGAATTGGCCAGTGCAGCCTTTCAGTTAAGGGCGACATCTCAACATTATTTTCCAGAAATGTAATGTTTTAGTAACCTACTGAACTTTCCTCTGGCGCCACCATCAGACGTACGCTACAGCTGGCGTGCCTTGAGACTTTTAGTTTTGTTTCTGGTTATGTCCGTTTTCTGTTAAAGTGTAGAATAATGTATTTCTTATAGAACATTAGAAGTGTATATCTTTTCGCATTTAAATGACTTGTTAAGTTGAATGTATATTTTTGCAGCACACACTCTCACACACGTACATGTTAGTGCAAACAGGGTGTGTTGGTGACAGGCCTCCAGGACGTTGCCAGTGTGTGTTAAAAGCCAGAGTTAAGGTGTTTTTGCCGGGAGCTCCCGGTCGCTCTGGGTCTTACCACGCTTGGAGGATTTACTGGGCAAAGAAGCTGAGCGCTGAGAGCCATCTGAGAGCAGAGGACAGTGTCAGACCAACCGACTCAGCAGCACTCAGGCTAACACACTGCACTTCTTCTCTGTATGAGTTTAGAGGATAACACCAGACACGGTGAATGTTCAGCTCAGAGTTCCCTGGTTTTACCTTCATTCTACTTTACATTTATAATGTTTCAGTCAATTGTAGGTCTGACAGATGTGTTTCTACAGGTCAAAGATGAAAGATTTGCTCCTTATGCGGATCCATGGCTGGACGGCCAGGTGCGACTGAACTACCTTTATATTTAAAGAATCGTGCAAAGTCACTTATGTTCAATAGTCACAGTGCAGACGTGAGGTTACGGTGGATATCTGACTAAAAAGAGGTTTAATAGTTTTAATGAAGGTGGATAAGCTAACCTATAAAGAGGCATGTTTAAATTCTCAGAATCCTCATGCTACGATGTTTTTGCAGTGATGTCCTTGTTCCTTTTTTATACTATATTTATTCACTGAATTATTCTGTTCTGTCATAAGATCAAATCTAAAAAACCTCATTCTACATACAGGAGATTCGGACTCCTGAAACTGACCTGACGTGATCAGCTGATCGTTTCACCAGAGAAGACCAAATAACGCTGTCCAAACAGGGTCACGGGCTGAAGCTTTGGTCACCTTCCACAAACGGTCGTGTCTGAATACCGACACTAGCTTGCAGAGAGCACATTAACCACAAATTAGCCAAGCTTAATTTACATTAGGGCTAAACGATTAATCGTTTTCAAATCGAAATTGCAATTTGAAAGAACGTCATTAGCTAATCATAAAGATGGCGATTAATTATACAGCACATGTGACGGTCACATAGTTGCAAATTCTTGTGTGACAGATCTGCTCGCCAATCACACCTCCTTCTTAACTCGTTAACGTGTTGTTAATTTGTTATTTGTGTGCTTCAACTTCGGATAACAGCTCTCTGAGAGCATAGCCTACATGGAGCATTTCAGAATAAGAGCGTTTTGTCCGTCTGACTTGCTGAGTTATTCATATTTTGCTTATTTGTTCAGTTGTCCTTGATTGTGCTTCTACCTAGGTTAAGTAGCCTATGTAGTTAATTGTGTCTTTTTTTGGTCTGTTTTAACTGTGTTTATTATTGATGTGCGAAAGTGATTCTGCAATGGTTGGTTTATTTTGAAAATCGACCGGATTCTCTATGCCGTTCTGTGTCTGACTTCCTGCCCGGTTCATCTGTTCTGTGCTGCTTGATGAGACGAGGCTTCCCTCAAAAATAGACTGGCGGTGAATATTGAACTTTAGCAAAATCGATTCGTAATCGCAATATCTGAAGAAAAATCGCTATTAGATTTTTTTCCCCAAATCGTTCAGCCCTAATTTACATTAGCATTAATTACTGTAGCAGCTGATGTAATCTGCCAACAGCAACAGTCATTTAAACTGGCATAACTGAATGTCAGGGACTGTAAGCTGCTGGCTAAATGTCTGGCACGTTGCTACTCAAAAGACAGAGCAGGGAAAAATACTTCAGACGAGTATTTTAACATCCTTATTTTAAACGGAACCAGCTATCGAACACGCGTGATGATCCCCATTAACCACAGTTTCTTCAAAGTGTGATAAAATTGTAACGTAATTTTTTTTATACCTTCACGAACAATATAATAAAAGTTTGTACGGGCTTAAAAGGTCAGGTTCCTTCCAGTCAGTTCCTTTGTAGCCTTAATAAAATGCCGGTTCTGATATTTGGCTAGCTTATGGAGCAGAGATGTTTGGGCTACAGTGAGGGGGAAAAAATATTTGATCCCCTGCTGATTTTGTATGTTTGCCCAATGACAAAGAAATGATCAGACTATAATTTTAATGGTAGGTTTGTTTGAACAGTGAGAGACAGAATTACAATAAAATTCTGAAAAATGCATGTCAAAAATTAAATAATAAATTGATTTGATTTTTAATGAGTGAAATAAGTATTTGACCCCCTCTGCAAAACATGACTTAGTACTTGGTGGCAAAACCATTGTTGGCAATCACAGAGGTCAGATGTTTTTTGTAGTTGGATACCAAATCATTCAGGTTTCGAGACTGACGTTTGGGAACTCGAACCTTCAACTCCCTCCACAGATTTTCTATGGGATTAAGGTCTGGAGACTGGCTAGGCCACTCCAGGACCTTAATGTGCTTCTTTTTGTGTTTTGGGTCATTGTCCTGCTGGATAACCCATCCACGACCCATTTTCAATGCCCTGGCTGAGGAAAGGAGGTTCTCATCCAAGATTTGACGGTACATGGCCCTGTCCATCGTCCCTTTGATGCAGTGAAGTTGTCCTGTCTCCTTAGCATAAAAACACCCCCAAAGCGTCATGTTTCCACCTCCATGTTTGACGGAGGGGATGGTATTCTTGGGGTCATAGGCAGCATTCCTCCTTCTCCAAACACGGCGAGTTGAGTTGATGCCAAAGAGCTCGATTTTGGTCTCATCTGATCACAACACTTTCACCCAGTTCTCCTCTGAATCATTCAGATGTTCATTGGCAAACTTCAGACGGGCCTATACATGTGCTTTCTTGAGCAGGGGGACCTTGCGGGCGCCGCAGGAGGTCAGTCCTTCACGGCGTAGTGTGTTACCGATTGTTTTCTTGGTGACTGTGGTCCCAGCTGCCTTGAGATCATTGACAAGATCCTGCCGTGTAGTTCTGGGTTGATTCCTCACCGTTCTCATGATCATTGTAACTCCACGAGGTGAGATCTTGCATGGAGCCCCAGACCGAGGGAGATTGACAGAACTTCTTTTGTGTTTCTTCTGTTGTCACCTTCTCACCAAGCTGCTTGGCAATGGTCTTGTAGCCCAGTCCAGCTTTGTGTAGGTCTACAATCTTGTCCCTGACATCCTTGGACAGCTCTTTGGTCCTGGCCTTGGTGGAGAGTTTGGAATCTGATTGATTGATTGCTTTTGTGGACAGGTGTTTTTTATAGAGGTAACAAACGTGATTGGAGCACTCCCTTTAAGAGTGTGCTCCTGATCTCAGCTCGCTGCCTGTATAAAAGACACCGGGGATGCAGAGATCTTTCTGAGTGAGAGGGGGTCAAATACTTATTTCATTCACTAAAAAGCAAATCAATTTATAACATTTTTGACATGCGTTTTTCAGAATTTTTTTGTTCTTATTCTGTCTCTCACTGTTCAAATAAACCTACCATTAAAATTATAGACTGATCATTTCTTTGTCAGTGGGCAAACATACAAAATCAGCAGGGGATCAAATAGTTTTTCCCCTTCGCTGTAGCTTTGGGCCAGTATCAGCCGATAGAAATGATGCACATCAATCACCACAAGTCTGGCATTTGACCAGCAATCAGGAGCGCTGGATAGAGACGGCTATTTTAGCTAACTGGTAACTGTTTTTGTGTTAAAGGCAGGAAAAAATCCACAATATATTTTCGACAAGAGACTGGGAAGCTGAACATTCACCCTTTAAAATCCATCTGCTGCTGCATCCACACAAGTGTGACCTTACACGTATATATGAGCTAACACACACACAAAGGAGGCCATCGGGTTCGTGTGTTTGTAGAGCTGTTAGGTTTTCAGTAAGTTTCATCGAAACATGCAGATTCTGTGGTTCTGAGGCCGAGATCAGCAAACACAATCACTCACTGTGTGTTTGTTTGCTTTGCATGAGTTTGTCACCCCAACATAACAGTACAGCGCATGCTTTCATTTTAGTAAATCAGTCCCATAAGGGGCAAACACACACAATTGTGTGTGAATAGTAGCTCACCCAGAACCATCAGCACACGTAGAGTTTGGCATCGACTGATCCCCGACAAACCCGACCCCTGCTGCGTTCAGCTTGGCTCAGCTCGACTGGTTTTACCCAGAACAGAGGCCAGTTTGCCAAACAGTATGTGTGCATGTTTCTGGGTTGGCATTTCATTCAGCATGCGAGTCATTCAGTCCATCCAAGTGGCATTAGAGTAAAGCTGTGGATGACAAGAAGCAGGGTGGCATGGAGAGGCAGGCCAGAGGAGGAGAGAGAGAGAGAATAGATCGATAGATTGATAAAGATGTGGGTTATTGGCACATCTACATGGTGGGGGTGACTGAGGTTGTGCATACAGTGCCTGATAACAGTTCCCATCTGTGGCAGTGACTAGCCGGACTGGTGCAACTGGTTCATTGTGTGATAGTTTGGATTTTTGAATGTACTGTAAGAGTCCTGCAGTTGGAGATTTCCCAGCTAGCCAGTGGCTTTCACACTACTCTCTTCATTTATGTAACCCCCTCCCCACCCCAGTCAGGCTCCGTCAGACACGTAACAACAATTTCTTTCTTCCATGTTAATATTTAAACTCATCCAAGTGAGGAGAAGTGTCTAAATCTATTTTTACTCACGAAATACATATATACACATATGTAACTGCACGGCCATTGATAAACCTGTCTCAGTCAACCACTAATTAACATAAATGGGGGGTGGACTGTCAGAAACCCCTCTGAGTGTAATGCAGTACAACACTGTCTCTAACTACGAACTAACGTTCGGCCCTTTCATATTTTCTGTTTATTTAACGGCCACGTATGAGCGAGAAAACAGCTGAAAGTAACATTACAGACAATCTGTGGTTTCAGTTGTTTTCTTTGCCCCACACTGATGCAGATGCACACTTGCCTGTGATTATCGTACTACATATTACTCAGAATAGAAATAAATCCATGTCAGAATCATTTAAAGTTTTAATTAATGTCTGTTGTTGTTATCATAACACAACAGTGATTCATTTTAAGATATGCTACTATTACAATTATATAACATATATGAATAAAATATTGATTTATTAATCACCTGTAATTAGTTTGTGATATTTATTTTGGAGAAATTGTTATAGGAATAGGCGACATTTTTTCCTTTACAATACACAAAAATTAGTCGTTAGATTAATTGACGAATCAAAAAAATTAATCATTATGTGCAGCCCTATTATTAACTACTATAAAGCAGGGGATGCTGGCTCAAACGTTATTATCCGTTTCTAGCCCTTTCAAGCAGTAGCTGAAACCCGTATTAGACACAAGATGACCTCACTGCACTTTCATATAGATAATAAGACTTTAATATCAAATGGTTTTGGAGCCACTGTCTGTCTGGGAGATCAGATGTCTCAGTTAAAGTCTATGAATTAATATCACAGCCAGTCTACTTACAAAAATCCAGACTATCCGTTTGGCTTTAGATCCAGTATCCTGTAGTGGGGGCGGGTGCAGGTGACTGGTTCTCTCCCAGTAAACACGTCAGTACTGTGAAGGCAGCTGTGTGTGCAGCTGGGTCGTTACTCTGCTTCACCACCAGAGGGGACCATTATCAAGTAAATAACCACAGACAGGACAACAGCAATACTACAGTGTCACACTAACAAACAAAACTAACAAGGAGAACACACAGTCACTCTTTCTTTTCTTCCATATTTTTTATAATCCATCCATCTATCTATAGGCAGCCCAAAATATCCAGTCATATCAAACATGTCAGAAGATTTCTGTGTTTATGTAACAGTGTAAAGCTAAAACATGTGAACGCATTCTGAAATCTTGATACCTTTCTCACTCCTTCAAGCAAAAAAAAAAGCTGTGAATGCACAAAGGAATTCAGCTAATCTGCACATGTACAGTTGTTAACATCCATTTGCCTGTGGATTTTTCTGCTGAGTCAGACGCCGGATGAGAGCCGAGCTGCTGTCTGCGGAGGATAACTTACAGTTTAATGTGCAGATCTTGAGTAGCCATAATCAGCCCGTAAATGCCCGTCTAGAGCTCACTGAATAATGTTACCATGTCCTGTATGTGTGTGTGCACACGCCATGGTATGTGGCAGGAACATGCACGTGGAGATGCCGTGTGCTTAAAGCAGTGTGCTGAGCTGAGCAGGTCCGAGCCAAGGTGGGCCGCAGGTGTGGCTGTGCTGTGAGGAGTGCCAGGATGCCGGGAGGAAGGGAGGCTGTGAGGACGTGGAGGAAGAGGAGGGGCGGGGGGCTTAGGCGTGGGCGGGGACGGGGACGGGTGGCGAAGGGGCACTTCACTTACCAGATATCTGGGGCTGGATGCCGGGCTGGTCGGAGCTGAGCAGCTGGGCCTGGATGGTCTCCACCACGCGCTTGAAACGTCGACTGGGACCTGATAAGGAAGCAGGATTTGTTACACCGCTGGCTGCTGACTGAAAGACATTTTTAGATGTAGAATATGTAACATTACTGCTTCACCAATGCGAGAGCGAGTGACTTGGAAAGCGATGACATGGGAAAAAAAGAGAAGCCCTGAAGCCTTAATTAATGACCGTCATGAGCTGGCTCTTGCCACCGTGAAATAAATCTCATGTCACTAATTAAACCGACATCCATTTCTTTGTATAGAAGAGATGATCACTGATACATTTAAGAAAGAAGAAGTAGTACATGTACTCTCTCTGCGTACAGTTCTTCACATATATGTCGTTACATGTCCAACTTCATCAGATCCTCAGTCTCCCGTCTTCCTGTTGTTGTTGGGATTTTATGCTACTTGGAAAGAAATAAAACATTCATGATATGGCCATGTTCAGGAAGGATCCAGGAACCTCGACATCTCACTTCAACTCACTGGATGTTGTTCAGTCATTCATGTCATTCTGTCATCACACTGCAGCCGTACAGTGTAACGTGTGACTGTAACACCGCGGGCATTAATGTGCTGCTGCAACACTCTGCTGGTTTCAGGCTCCTCACCAGGTGTTATTGCATTATTATGTTTTACAGCACCTGCAAACTGCAGTCCACTGGTGCGCACTATTTTGGTGATTTGCAAGTTAAAACTGGGCTAAATTTGTGGTGCGTTTCATTCACTTCACTTTGGCACTTAATGTTATGTAGAAAACAAACGTCACACAAGTTACTGAGCGAAGTGCTGAACGTCACCTAACATGCTGGGACTCCTCCGAAGGCCTGTTACACCACTACTGCTCTTAACCTGAGATTATTGGTACTGTGTCTTTATGCTTACGTGTGTGTGAGAGAGAGAGGCTACCAATACTCTGTCTGATGTTTGTATTTAATTAGTAAAGTGTGCACAGATCCCCCGGGTGATGGTGCACTATAAATAAACATGTTGTTTCTACTTTTCCATGAGTGAAGCACTTTCTTTCTTACTACATGCTGAAATATATACAGTAGTACTTAAATACTGTTGGAACAATAGTTGTACATAGAGCAGCAACTAACAGTTATCTACATCCCTGTTTAGTCTGTTGATTTATTATATAAATTAATTATCTAATGTATATATTGTCAGAAATTATAGAAATTTCAAAACTCAGAAATATCCAATCCTAAAACTCACATTGCAGAAGCTGAAAACAGGAAAAGTTGAGCTTTTTTTGCTTGATTAAAAGGACAAATGATCGATTTTCAGTATTATTGTCAATATGATTTCTGTCCATCAACTTATGGATGAATTGAATTGCTTACCTGAGAGCAGGGTGAAGGTGACGGAGTAGATGCCGTTGTCCTTGGTGGCGCTGGTGCTCTCGGTGTAGGTGATGTCCACCTGGAACTTCACTGGCTTCTGGAAAACCGTCGGACCGGCAGTGGACTTGTACTCCGCCCGGAAACTGGTCTGAGAGATGACGCTGTGGCTCAGACTGGGGATCTGTGGGGGAGGGAGTGAGAAAGGAAGAGAGGCGGTGTTTGCCCAGTAGGCAGACTCTGAGTCAGCAGCAACAACAACAGACAGACAAACAACTTCTGCATCAGTCAAGATGGCGGCGCAGATGTAAGAGAAAGAGACAGGAGCAGAAGGAGACGGTGTGTTGGATGTGACACATCTGAACACGTCACAGTGTAATGCAGCGTCAGCGTCGGAGTCAACTTCTACAGCGAGACGTGACCGGACGGCAGCTGCTGTCCCTTCAACACAACATGAAAACACATGCACTGACTGAAACCTAAAGTCACACTGAAGGTACAAAAGTTGACGGACAGAACATCGGTAAAAGTGATTTTCAAATACATTCTCTATATTCAGATATTCATCAGAAATTCTCCTTCAGTCTTCAAGACTCTGAGAGACAGTGTTTTGTTGTTTGGTGTTTAAGAACCACAGCATTTAACTTTATCACTATATGAACTTATTCATCTTGACATTTGCATGCACATTTAAAAGCTGTTTAGATTGCTACAGGGTTAGCACATTTCCAATCAGAATGTTTGTTTGTGATCAGTGATGTCAAACTAATTCATATCAAATGTACTGTGTTTCCCCTGCATTCATTCAGCAGCAGCGGTGCACCTCGTGCTTAAACATACCTAGGGAAAATGCTGAGCTCTAAAGCACAGTACAGCACAAATTTCCAGCCCGAGCTTTTGTTTGCTTATATCCCTGAACTCACCCGGCCTATATTTGGAACAGTCCTTTCATTTCTTTGGTGCAGAACTCTACTGAAGAGAGAGAGACTACTGAAGAAAGGATGAGCGCCGAAGGTTACTGTAGTTATTCCAACTTGGATTCATTTTTATGAAAAAAAACATTTTGATTCCTTTGTGTCTGTGAAGGTTCTCGGTCATCCAGGTCATAGTTCTCCAACGAAGGTTAAAGTCAAGGGCAACTTTCGTCCCTCATCCAAAGGACTTCTTCAGTTCTGACTGACTGGCAGGGAAACTCAGCTATTTAACCTCAGTGGGGTCGTCGATACCGCTGGTTCCTTTGATCGTTGGACCCCTACGGACTAAATTAATAATATAAATAATCAAGGAATGGACACACATTCAGACTTTATGACCGCTTCAAAGGTCTGGAGTCACCACTTCTTTTTTTGTCTCTCCAGTTTATAATGCCTGTAAATCTGAATGAATAATACTTTGGCGCTCGTTGTTGTCTCGTATAATGAACAAAACAATTAAACTGAGGAGAACTTATCGATCTTACGATGTATAGTATGTCCATCCTGAGAAAGGTTCAAACATTTATATATGGATGCACAATCCAAACCACTTAGAACCCCGGTGGGCTTTATACATAGAACTTCTTTAAAAATCAGACCGGGCTTCTATTTGAGACCTGTGTTTATTTGTCAAAACCTGTAACCACACCAGGTCAGTTTAAGGGACGGGCGTCTAACTGGGACTCTCTCGCTTTTAATTGAAGTTTCACAGTAAAATGTGACGATTGATCAGACAGTGACAGAGAAGGTGAGTACGGATGATGGATTTAAGGATGGAGAGGAACAAAGAAGAATAGACTTACGGAGAGGAAGGCATGGACGATGTCTGCCTTTATGGAGCTGAGAGGTTTGTCTCGGATCACGATGAAGATCTGCTCCTCCTTCTCCAGGTTGATGAAGTTACCGAACCAAGACTTCTTAGCCAGTCTGCAGGGAGGAGGTCACAACTGATGTACTTTCATTTTGACAAAACATGCCGTAATGTGACAGAAAAAGCTGAACCAGGAGTTTGTGTTGTTTATTCTACTGAAACAGCTACTATTCTTAGTCGGCATTAGAAAAGTAATTGAAGTCTTACAGTAGTAGAGTAACTTTTTACTTAAACAAAGCTGAACAAACTAGTCATGACCTGGTTCTGGGTTCAGACCTTTACGTTGAAATGAGAAAAAGTTAGGGGGTAAGGATCAAGCATTTGATATTTCCACCTTAAAATGACATTTTCTGCTTTTCTTCACTTTCCAGTTAATGAATGTTTTAATCACATTGTAAGGAAACTGAATAACATAAATCCACATATGCATGCATGACGTTTGTCTCATAAACACGATACGTTAACTTATTATAACTTACAGACAGAGCTTTGGTCAATGTCATTTTTGACACATGAATAAATGTAAATTATGACTTGCAGGTACCTAAAAATTAAGATTTCCACAAGCGGCTGTTACAACGAGCAAAGTGAAATGTTGGTAGCAGCACTTTTACTAAATTTAACCCCAACATCTGGAAGGAGGATCCTGTCTAAAAGCAACACGACTTATTTTTTGATCCCATTTGATTAGTGCCCTGAAATACACACACGAGGTTTGTACATTTAAAATACAAATTTTCAAGTCAAGAAAGTTGCAGTTGTGTGAGATTATCGCGTCCTTTCTGCAACTTCAGCCATCTAAACCTTCGATCATCTTTAACGCGCTGTTAACAAACGCTCATTTTAACATTCTTATTACATCAACTGTGGTGAACGTACAGCCGCAGTGAAAACAAGGTCCTATTTCGCCCCGTGTTGCTTTTATGTTTTATGTAAAGCACTTTGAATTGCATTGTTGTTGAAATGTGCTGTACACATAAACCTCCCTTGCCTATGGTCAGAATCAGTCTGAAATCCTTTAGCTGTTATTAAGCTATATTCTGTTTACTTGCTAGCCTAACAAAAAAAAAGCCAAAAACCAATTAGCTTTCTAGCATGCTACAAAAATGCATCCTATAATAATCAAGTTTCTTATGGATTATATGTGGGCAAAATGAAGTAAAGGAAATGTCAGAGAAACTCTCTAATGCACGCAGCAGTCTTTTTTATAGCCTGACTCTGGTGAGGCATGCTGCTACGGTACTCACTCTGGAGAAGAGTCTGGAGTTAGACTGGACATGTCCTCCTGGGTGGGAACTGTGGAAATAGGAGGTCAAAGGTCACAGATTTCAGTAGGTGGATGTGATATCTATCCTCGATCTCTGATCAACGCTGACTTCTTTCTGTCTTCACATATCATTTGTAGAAACTGAGGTCATAACGATCCTTCTGTTTGTCTTGTTTTTCCACTAAATGCTATTTCAGATTTGATAAAAACATAATCTGTCAGTGTAAATGAGATTATCTGGTCCCTTCATGGCTCTGTTCAGTTCGTCTGGAGGGATTTGATGGCACTATCAAAGCAGCTATTGGAAAACTACCTAAACTAAGGCAGAAAAGAGGGTCCATTTTCCACTCCCTGTAATGAGATAGTTATCTCGTATATGACATGGCCAGCGGCTGCTGTTTCTCATGATAAGGCTGGCAGCAGGTGAACCGTTAAATACAGCCATTAGGAGCAAAGAGATGATTTGCACTTGTTCCTCTGAGCTACAGGAATGCAGTTTGAAGCACAAACACACTCTGCTGAATCAATTCAAAGTGATAAGATCTGAACTGAATAAATATACTAAAGTCTCGTTTAATCTTCCACGCACCCCGCCTCCTGTCTCCTCCCCCCTACCTTGCATTTTCCTGCGGTGGAACCGTGGCGAGCCCAGGAAGCTGTTCTTGATGGAGTTGAGGCGTGTCCTCCAGGGCATTCCCCCGATGGAGGGGCTGGGTGGCGGCGTCGGACTGGGCGTGCCAGCCGGGCTGTCCTTGGGCGTGTGCACCGGGGTGCCTTTGGGGGTGGGGAGAGGGCTCCCTCTGGGGGAGGGGTGGGGGGTCACCTGCGTGATGGGGACAGATTTGCCGTTGTGGTCAGGGTGGAGGTGGAGGTGGCGCCGCCGGCGGGGCGACATAGGAGGCACGGGGGAGAGGGGGATGGAGAGCTTGGGGGGGGACTGTGAGGGGAGGGTGGCGTCTCACCCGGGGGCTGTTGGGGATGCAGGGAGCCAGAGGCTGGCAAGGCGTGGAGGGCTCAGATTTGGGGGTGGAGGGGGTCTGGGCTGTGTTGGGGAGAGGGTTGGACCTGGTGGTCTGCAGGGGCTTCTCGGACATTTTGGGCTTGGCGGGAAGGGTCTGTGTGCGGGGGTGCATGAGGGGGGACCCCATCTTTGGATGGTAGGAGTTGGGTGTTCGTGGCCCCACCCCGTTAAGGCGGACCTCGGGGGAGTGGGTGGGGCTACAGTTGGGAGACTGACACAGGTCTGGGGACTGGGGTGGGATGAAAAACCGCCGGTTGGGCTGCGATTGGTCATGCAGCGTTACACATGACGGCAGAGTCAGCCAATGAGAAAGCGAGGCCACGGCCAACGGACCGCCACAGCCCAATAAAGGTTCATTCCCATAAAAAAAAAAAACACACACCAGGAAATTAAAAAAAGGAGTGTGGCAGATGGGTTGAGAAGTGGAGCAGGCAGGAAGTGGTGAGAGTGCAAGAAAGAAAGAAAAACAGAACATGCGATTAGCAAAGTGATTTAGCCAATCAGAAGGCAGCAGTGGAGCATTCATGACGCATTAACAGTAGGGATGCACCGAGATCAAACCATTTTGCTGTCACTTCCTCACTTGGTCGATGCTGATAAAGATCGGATCTGCTTCCACAGGTTTTACTCACCTATAAAATCATAATGTTTACTTCACAACATTCAAGTTCTGCAGCAACGATGATATGATGTCATTAGTTTGTCTTTTATGTTGAATTATTTAGCTACGGCACTAGCCAACTTGAAGACAAAAACAAAATATACTGTGTATTATGTGAGTATTATTATAGTGTTATTATTCTGTGTATTTTGATGATCATTTTATTTTTTCACTTTTAAGTAAGACTATGTAACTTTTACTGAACAGTGGCCCCTGTGGCCAAAAGTGGTAATTACAGGATACAGATGAATTAAATTGCCCTTAATTTCGCTTTCTTCAGTTGGTAACATGCCAAAGTGCAGTGTAACAAAAGCACAATTAAAAGGTAAAGATAAGTAATAAAGTAATTGAACTCTCTCACTAACGTCAGTTACACAGCGATATTTATTTAAAGTTTGTTAAAATTACTCAATATAAGCTGCTGATCATACAGACTGTGTAAGTTTATGGCAGCTAAACCCCTGAACTGAGAAATAGTTTATTGAATTTAATGTTGAAATGCTGAAACAAATTAATCAATCACAATCGACAGAAAATGTTTTTGACAGAACATATTCATGATTACTGTCCGATACATCGGTGCATCCCTAATTACCAGCGAGTGAACCAGCTCGAAAGCAAACGGATTTAGCTTCACCCTCCACCTGTGAAAGCGGCCAGAGTGCATGCACAGTGCTGATGCACAATGCTGTGGGATGAATGAACAGATCCCTCATAAGACGGGTCAGAACAGTGGGAACAAACGGCAGCAGCAGAGCAGACCTGAGGTGACCTGTCAAGTCTGTTCTCATAACAGCATAGGAAAGCATGTGTGCACACTGCGTTTCATGAAGCTCATGTTGTTTCAATGACCAGGGGAAGTGTGTGTCTGTGTGTAAGATTTACAAACTTTAATTCTTTCTGAATTCTTCTTCTTTAGTGCTATGGGCTTCATGCAACACACTGTCTTCCTTAGCGACCGGTGCCAATGTTTTCCCTCGGGACAAACTAAATTCACGATTATTCACTATTACTCTATTGTCTCAATCTGTCTATATTGTTTCTGTTTCTAGTGTGTATGTATGTGTTCTCTACACTGTAGCCTGTGTTTGATTTTATTATTCTATTATTGTATAAGCAAGTGCATCGTCAGCAATGCACAATCCTGAGTCAAACTCCTTGTATGTGTCCACATACACTGGCAAATAAAGCGGATTCTGATTCAGATTCAGATTCCCAAATGGTCCAGATCTGTCTTTCAGGTCATGTCTGGTTTCCTCCACAGACCAGACCAAAGTTGTTATATGGATATAAGATGAAGGTACAACAGTCAGGATGTGCTAATCCACAGACACACTAGGAGTGCGATATTAACATAAATTGGTCTCCGGATATTTTTCCGGGATTTTGTCGATAACGATAATTAGACAATATGTGGCATCCTTCCAAACTGTGTTGGTGAAAGTCTAATATTGTACTGGCTCGCTCTAGTTAATTGCATATTAGCTGTTGCTTATGTCTTATTTATTTAGTAAAAACTGAAGCATTTCAGTAAGAACAATATAAAAACACAGAAGTATTACTGACATCATACAGTATGAGTAAACCATTTCATCTGTTTCTGTGCTGGTACCTCTGCTGGTTCAGGCCGGTCGTGGACAGCTGAGCGGACGTTAGTTAGTGATCTTTAACGGTAACAGTTTCGACATAGTTAGCAGACTGACTTTTGATCAACATCCATCTTTTAAAACCACACCACCTTTATGTCAGTGAGCTTGGTCCACGTCAAGCTATTCAATCCAACGAGGCAGACTGCGATGCTGGTGGCGCCGGTGTTTTATCTCCCGTCGCTGTTTGTTCAGTTCAGTCATGAAGTTTTCAGCTTGTTTAACTCTAGCATACGTGTACTGCTTGTATGACGCAGTGAATGCACGGACAAGCTGTCTTTTGCAAAGTGAGTGACGTCGCCTCTTTGAAAATGTCTGCTCACATATCAACCAGAGTAGCTAAAGGTGCCAACCATGAACCGCAACGTCAAAATAAATGTTACCCAAAAATAAACAAAGAAAATGAAACTTTATGTAAAATGTATATTCTGTTCATTTGTTTCTCAAGAGTAAACTTAACCTAACCGGCTCCTGTGTTGTATCAACTGTGTTGTGCAATATAAAGTTTCCATTTGAGTGTGATCGGCATCGTGGTTTGACAACATCCTATTTTTCCTTTGTGTGTATTCTGACGTGACAAATTCTACAATTTAGAAGTTGTGGGACAGTCCCGAGAACCGTAGAGTTATTATGTAGGGGGCATGTCCATGTGAACATCCTCTGTCCACGCAGAAGCACTTTAGCAAGATGTCTGACTTCATGTCAAACCATTTCTTTATTTCTGTCACGGTACGGCTCCGCGGTGACACAGCGGTGACAGCTGTAGTAATATCTGATCTCTCTTCGGGTCTCCTAATAGAAATACTGACACCGCTAAATGTTGTTACGCTTTCGTCTGACTCCGAGCTGCGAGGTGTGTTTGTGCAGTTAAGAGAGGTGATTCGATCTGACTTGGAGCACTCATGCAAACAAATCTCCCAGGAAAAGTGTTTAGAAAGTAGTTTAGCAGAACATTCTTGCATGAGGCCCGATGACTTTTATTCATTACTTTGCAAACTAAACAAATGAGCAGATCAGAAGAATGCGCCTTGAAGAATAAAACAATGACATCCAATATAAAGTGAAAGGTTCTGCGTGGCTTGCAAGAGAGCGAATGTTTGATGGTACACGGCCTGTGTCCTTGCTGAGGGCTGGTTTAAAAGATGCATGGCTTTACTAAAAAACACAGAAGCTGCACATGGAAGCTGCAGGTTGGTTGATTTGCACGGTTAACTTTTCGGCTTTGTCACTGCAGCAGCAGTTTTCAGGCGTTTTCTCTTGAGAGCGATGGATCAATTCTTCAACTAATCTGCGGCTGCATGAGAATCTGTTCTATGTGGACATTAAATCAACAGATCTCATCTGGAGTTTGGTGTTTGGCCTCCGACGGATCCGGTCCCACTTCATCTAAAGCTGTGTGACGTACAGTGCAGCCTGACTTAAAGCCGCTCACATCGACCTTGATGGGAGGATGAACAGCAGCCGACGGTTCAGCTTCTAATTCTCATGTATATGTCCATAGAGTAGCCCGTTATAAAATAGTGTTCATGTAGACTGACATAACAAGTCACGGTGATGAAGCCTCTCACTGTGGAGATCATTATGCCATCGTACAGAAATCAGAATGATACGTCTGAATAAGTATGTGGATAGTGTCAGCAGTTGCATAAGCTGTTTGTGTCTCCACCAGTGGATCTGTCTCCATACTGTCGCTGCTGTCATGTATTCAGCCTTTACCACAGACAAGACAAGCTTAATGATTAATGACAAAGAGCAGTTGCAAGTGGGAGGGATACAATTTAAAGTCTTAACCTGTGTTTAACTCTCATTACGGATTCAGAGTCTGGACCCTAGAGACGGAACTACTTTATTAGATGTGTCTATTTCGACACTACAACTGATATATTTAATTAAAAAATCTATTAAAATGTGGTCAGTTGCCAGTTTATTCTTTCTGCCCTCACTGATAAAAATGGCACGGACAGAAAATGATTAACACCTCTCAGGATAACACATTACAAATGATAGGGTATCGGTACTCGATACCTTTAAGGTATTTGCACCAAAAAAACTAATAATAATTATAATAAATAATATAATAATAATAATAATATTAGCCAAATATTTCACTCCTCCTCTCTCATTTAAATACAAAAACACCTCCCAAGCTGAGGTCCTTCCTCTGATTATACGCATGTGGATGACCTACTTAGGATGATCTGATACAAGTTCCCAATATTTTTATATAATAGTAGTTTTAATAGTTATTTCAAACAATTAAAAAAAATAGATCTCCTTAATTGTCAATTATAATAATAATTATGGCCTATAGTGGTATTGGTGTTGGTATCACTTTAAGGGTACCCAGCCCTAATAATTGAACAGGGCCATAAACTGAACTTTATAACCATCATGAACATGAACATTACTGCGGGATTAGGCTGCATTAGCGTCAGATAAGTGGATCTACTAAACCAGCGATGGTTAGTCATGCTTGCCTTAGTTTTTAAATCCTGTGTAAAGAACATTTGGGGTGTTTATGTACTGCTTACCCTAATCTAAACAGCTTCACACATTTTGTCTTTCAGTAAGAAATAGTAGAGAAGATAGAACAACACAGTGTTCAGTCATTTACATTTTGACATTTCTCACAAATCTCAGATCTGTGCTCATGAAATATATTCTTCTATTTCCTGCAGACTTGCAATGTAACTCGGAGTTTTGTCTCTTTAACAATCTGATTCTGGCTCAGCTGTACATCAAACAGGCTTATAATGAAGTCCACAGTGATGGTGTCACGAGAGGCTGAAGTGAACGTGAGCGCAACAACATACCAGCAGAGCCAGTCAGTGAGGTGGCATTGTGGGAAAACAGTCAGTGCGTGGGGAGGACAGACACTTACCCTTGGACTGCTGAGAGGACTGGTGGACAGACCGGAGGACGCGCCGCTGATCGACCGCGATCTACACAAACACAAAGGGAAATCAGTACACAATACACCGGTTCACACACTGTCCAGCAAACTACACGACACAACAACACACACACAAACAGGTGCACACAACATCCCCAAACCTCTTTGTGTAGTTGTTTTAGAAATCCAACTAATCTGAACTCAGAGCAGATTGAAGGTAATTTGCTCTCAAACAAGGACGGATCAATGAGCAAAGACTGTCATCGGGAGTTTTCACGAAATCTTTTATTACTCTGTCCTTCGGGAGGACATGACTCTCTCCTCTCAGTTTTAGTCCTGGATTTTTACCTGCATCTCTGACGTCACAAAGTTCTGTCCATTCATTGAGTAAAAGTGCCCCGTTATGTGTTTACTGCAGCATGAGAAGAAAATAACACACGGTATTCATGACCATCCATCCAATTTCTTTGGAGATGTTTAAGTCTGGAACAAAATGTTGAACCGACAGTTTGCAGGTTTGCAGTGTGACCAGAGCTTGTAGCAGCATTTTGTAGATGACATTAGCCTCGTTATTCTGAGTCCTGTTTACACTCCGCAACACTCCAACATGAGCAACAGTCTGGATTAAAGTCAATATCTATAAATAGTTCAGGACAGGTCAGCGTTATACCGCGCACGCACACACACACACACACACACACACACACACACACACACACACACACACACACACACACACACACACACACACACACACACACAGTAAAATTCATTAGCACTGTTTCTCTTTTCTTCTCTTTTGGTGGAAGCTTTTTCATTTTTCATTTACGTATCATTAACTTTACATTTCTCCCTCTTTTTCGCTCAAATGGTGTTTCGGATCACCCCTCACACACACACACACACACACACACACACACACTCTTTTACCAAAACCAAACAGGCCTGCTGATGTCTCTGAAGACTTGGGATTTAATTGCCCATAGACAATTTGGCTTTGTTGGAAGTGAAAAATGAAAACGGTAAATCATAATTAAATATGCTTGAAGACACACACATACATAAAGGAGGGATGACATCACCGCCATTAAATCAGCAGCTGTGTCGTCGGCATACGAGACAACTTTACACAATTTTCTATTCAAAGCGAAGAAAGTGCTCAGTGGCAATGGTGGTAATTTTGTCTATATAATTGTCATTATAAATACTGTTGCATCTTTTCTTTGTTTCTCTCTCGTGTCTCATAATAAGCCATCATGAGGCATGTTGTGAAAGGGTTTCTCTAAGTATCTTCCCCGTACAGTCATGTATGTAACTGGCTGATGAAAACGATCGTGTCTTCATGCGACAAATAAAAACTTAATGCTTATTTTATAGAGGCGGTGATCCTTAAGAATCTGCCCTTCTTTGTTTTAGTTGTTTCTGTCTTCAGCACAGGTGTGGTGACAACTACAAAAACAGTTTGTTAAAAATCAGCCGTATGATCTACAGCAGACTGATGGAATCAAATTTCAACTTGACAAAACAATTGCTGTGTAATACTGTATCTTTAGACCTGGACTGGAAGAAACAACCCGTTCTCCCTCCCCGACTCGTCACATATGGACGCATGGCGTCAGTTTGTAACGCACTGAGGATCCCCGTAGCGTCATGGTTCAACGCAGTGGGCGAAGCCCTGTAGCGGCAGGTATATGATATTTAACAGAAAAGACTGAGAAAGGAGGTGCTTGGGGTGGATGGAGGGCGTCTGGGGTTCATGTCATAAGTCGATATTAATTATTTTTATATAAGTTACACGAGATACGTAAATTGCAAAAGTTAGGCAAGTGACGTTGGTTAACTTACATGTTAACTTACCTACGTAGTTATTTTTACCCAAACCAGGATCTTTTCCGAACCTTAACCAACTAGTTTTTGTGCCTAAACCGAATCAAATTGTTTCACGACTTTAAGAACATTTCGAAATAGTGATGTTTTGAAACGCTAGCGTTTTATTTTGAAAGTCTAACTGGACGTTGCCTATTTGCTAACTTTACAGGACGTTGCATATTTGTTGTTGCTAACTTGACCGTGGAGCCTTAAGCATCTGAAAATGACACTAAAGGGGTACGCACGGCGTTAATAAGCGACGCCAAAGGGCCTTGACCAAGCGTCAACATGTGACGAGTGGGGAGTGAGAATGTGTTGCAACCGAAGAAAGTCTTCAAACTTCAATAAAATGCGTGCGTGTGACATCTCAGATACATTCACTGTTTGTTCGCCTGCACATGTAAAATAATAAAATCACCTTCTCCCTTCCAGTAACAAACACGCTGATCAGAGCTGCTTGCTCATGCGTGCCGATCTGCCCGTTACCTACAGGTTTGTGCTGATCAGAGTCACACATACAGTATCTGCTGTGTTAACTAATATTGAGGAAGTGTCAAATGACTGCCAGCGCACAACGCTGCTCCATTAATGACGGTGAGGAGACTCTCCACACCGTCAGACAATTCACATGCAACTCATTAACTGTGACACCCGTCCGGTCCACACTCGGGAAGCTGGTGCCGGCTGGTGTTTGAAATCTGAAAATGAATTCATGGTTCACCGCTGGTGAGAGAGGGAGCGTAAGAGGAGAACGCAACATGCTTCATTTTATGGATCTCCCCAATTAGATGATGAGCAGATAAAGGAGTATTCAGAGGGAGTGAGAGCCTTATTTCCATATCCTGTTTGTGCTCCATCTGCATTCCTGGCAATTAATTTATGCTAATCTGCATCGGGCTGCGAATACATCGACAAACTGTGTTTCCCCGGCACAAGGTCAGCCACGCAGGGAGGCTGGAGACGGCACGGATGATGAAAACGACCTCCCCTGTGCTTCACTGACATAACAGACTGGCACAAACAAATGTAAACTCACCCACACACACTGACAATGAGGAGTGAAGATGGGTGGAAGGAAGGAGGGAAGGAGGGGGAGCGAGAGAAGGAAAAGAAAAGTTGACCTAAAAATTCTCTTTGCCCCCCGAGGGCTGCGGGAATAACGTCAAAGAGGAAGTGGGTGCAAAGAGGAGAGTGTGCTATTTTTCAGATTTCACAGAGAAGAAGATTTTAAGCTCCTTCTCTCGCAGTCAACACGCTGATACAGTCAGGGGTTTGGTATCAGTGTTACCTTCTAGCATCTTTAATTTACCTTAGGATATGTTCACTATGTGGCATCATGCTGGATCTAATCTAATGCTGATACTCGACACATCGTTGGGCTACAAAAGCTATGTTTTCATGAAAATGAACAAACTAAACTGGTAAAACGCACGCCACTTCATCTACGTTAACTGATTATTTTCACTTTGTGGCAGAAGATCTACAAGACACATTAAAAAACATATGACACATTATAAAAGAGCTATGGTTAATCAATTGCCTATTTGCACATCCAGCAGACACAGCGTAACATTAATATTCCTGAATGTTGAGTCCAATAATCGCTTTCCTTTTAGCTCTAGTTTGGTCTCCACCAACCCCTGAGGAGCTGCTACCTCCTAACCCACCAGCTGATCTGTGTCTGCTGTTTGCTGCTGCTGGAAACGCTGACCTGGCAGAAAATGTGCTAAAACTAGGAGCTGAAAGAGGCTAAAAAGCTCCGTAGAGCTGCAGAGTTGGTGACGATCCTCTCCTTTTCATATTACACTTGAGTGCAGCGTTAAGGTCATCTTTATTCTCTCGGAGTGTTGTTCTTTCTCTGGTGTCTCCCAACTCCCAAGGACACATGTCCGCCAGACGACCAAGCATTTGAGTCGACATACCGTCATCGTAGGGCAAGCAGCGCTGACTGAGCGGTAATGAGTTCATATGCTATAAAGGGGTGTTTGGCTAGAAAAAAAAGGAATTTTTTGTTTGTAAACTCAGTTTTCTGTTGTGATTTGTACAAACGCAACTCAATTGCACATAAATGTAAATACCACATTGCACAAAGTCTATTATGCGGATTATTCCTTATTTATATATTTATGTATCCCATTTATTTTATATTTATATATGTTTAAACCAGTGAAAAACTGCAGTGACATAATTTCAACCCGTTTCAAAAATTGTGACTTTTCATTTTGCTAATGCAGCATTTTTTTTTTTTCCTCGCCGACATCACTTCAAGTTATTCTTGAAATAAGTGCAGATTTTCAGTGTTTTTCTGAGATATTTATGTTTTCATTTCTGTTACAAAGTTAAATAAGTAAAAGACTTTTAGCTAAAAGAACATGCAACATTAAAAAGGGAAAGACAAAGACATGTGGAGGACTTTAGCAAGCACTAAACACTAAACTAATGGATGCTTAAAACAAAGGAACACAATGGATCTAACACCACATATAAACAGAGGAAGTACGACGAACGGAGCCGACCAATACCTTTCTTCCTTGCTGCAGTTAGCGTTTGTGATATCCAAGCTTTTACTGAAAACTGATTTGCTAAAAAGGAGGGGTAGACAGAAAATCAAGAGACAAGACAGAAAGGCAGTCACATAAGTGGAATCCTAATGCACGTCATGCAGCACTAAAAAGAAACAAACTTTAAATTTATGCAATGAAAAAAAAAATCACCATGAAACAAAGAGCAACACAAAACCCAGAGCATGCACAGATTGAGAAATCAGAAGACAAAAACCAGGAGGAGAAAACCCGTTCATGGGTCATGCTCGAGCCAGCGGGACATTCAACACGCTACAGAAACTATTTCGACATACATCCATCTCCTGGAACTTGTTTACACGGTTTTAATGTTCAGCTTTATAAACTCTGCTGAATCGTTCATCCGCGAGGACAGAACGTCAGAAGTGTAAAAACAGCACAGCAGCTAAAGCAGGCTCTGTGACGATAACAAATCAGGTCCTGCTGTGTGAACCTGATCTACGAGCGCCGTGTCAGAGCGGACAAATGAAACTTAATGCTGCTTGTGAGAACGTCTAATGATCAGGAGGCTGATTCAGTTCTGTGAAGCGCTGACTGTTGGTCCAGCACATGTTGATAGAACTGCTATGTTGCTGAAAAACTGATGCACTGCAACAGC